TGTTAAGGTTTGTTATCTACTACCCTTTGAAATGTTGATTAGATGACTGATTCTTGTTCATGCTTTTCAACATTTGGATTCTTTAAACCATTGAATTTTTAATCTGTGTGGGAAAATCAGTGTATCCTAGAGTGGGAAAATTTCCACTGTATGTACTAAAAGGGACAGACAAATGGTTTTTGGTGTACAATGGAATTTTTGTTTTGTTGTCTTTATTCCTTGTTAGTGATATTTCCCTAGATTTCCCTGAGAGGGACATTAGTAATTGTGTGTGCAACACAGTAGTTGAAAGAAAGTTTGGAATTGGTGCACTCTGGTTGCAGCCCTGCTGCTTTGTGACCTTGGACATGTTATTAATTCTGTCTGTTTCCTGTAAAGCTGGTGTGATAATGGTAGTACCTGGTGCATGTGGGCCCTTAGCACAGCATCTGGCTTAGCGCTCAATAAATGCTACTGCCACAGTGGTGATAAAGTGCAGTGTTGGGTTATTGTTGTTTCTGTGAGATTCCTAGTTTTGGAAAGCTGAAGGCATTTATGGCCTTTGCTCCTGAATGTGTCACTATTTTGAATATTGCCTTTATTTAGCAGCATGCTTTCTGAACGCCTTATTAAGTGCCAGGCATTTATCTAAGACTCAGAGGTGGGGAACCTAAGGCATGTGTACTGCAATGGGCCGCTTGCATCACTGAAAGCCCTGCTGCTGTGTTTTTCTTTTAATGTGTGAGTTGTTTTTTTCTAATCTAAAACTTCAGTATTCAGGTTTAATTACAGTGTTAGCATTTTGCAGTAAAGAAGTGGGTTTTGGGTTGCAGTTTGGGCACTTGGTCCTTAAAAGGTTTGCCATCATTACTAAGTGAACAAAACATAAAATTATTTGCTTTCAGGTTGAGGAGACAAAACACAAAATAAAGCAAAATAATTGGCTCATTATTTATCTTAGGAAGTTTGTTTGTTGGACTTTGTAGGGTGAAGCTGCCATTAGCCTACTGTACCAGCCTTCACATTTACATCTTTTTTTTTCCTCCTTTGGTACTAGGATTGCACCTAGGGCTTTCATGCTGAAGTACATTTCCATCCATTTTTATTTTTTGAGATAGTGGCTCCCTAAGTAGCTCAGCTGGGTCCAAACTTGGGGTTCTCCTGCCTCATCCTCCCAGAATGCATGTACTACCCCACTCAGCTTAAATCTTTTCTGTTTCTGTTCTTGTGCTTTAAACATTTGGTGGCTAGAGTACCCTAATGCATAGAAGGTCCCCATTGTCTCTAGCTGCAGCTGGGTCCTAATTTTAAGGTAGCCTATAGTCTTCATCTTTTCTTTGAATTATTATTTAAATTGCCTTAAGTTGCCTAAAGTCTTTTTTGAACTTTCTTTGCAGTCTCCAGAACTTGTTTCATTGTTCCCAGCTTCTTAGCTTTTGCTCGTCTGTGTCATTTTCTTAAGAAAGGGGTTACTAGAAACCTCTTTCAAGCCTTGATTAATCTAGCAGAATACTTTTCTTTTTCCCATTTTGTGTTTCCTACTGTCTAGTTATAGTTAACTGAGATATTTAACTTGCTTAAGTCTTTAATGTAAATATATATATGTATATGTGTGTATGTATGTGTGTGTTTGTGTGTGTGTGTGTGTGTGTGTGTGTGTGTGAAACCAAGTGAGGACTTGGTTTCCTGCTTCTAATCACTGTCATATCAGCCTTTACTAATGCCTCAGCATGCATCATGTGATATTTGAAAACTAGCATTTTTAAATCTTACTTGAAAATTAAAACTAAAATCTCCCAAAATAAACTCACAGATAAATGAGCATTCTCAAAGTACTGACTGCACGGCACTAACATTAGGAATTAGGTGGTTCAAAGAAAAGGAAACTACCATTTATTAAGGGTCTGGCTTCAGGACCTTTTTCATACTTACCTCTGAATCTCACAGCATCGCCATAAGATAGGTATTATCTGCTATTTTTCACAGGAGCGAGCTCAGGCCCAGAATTGAGATCCCCACTAAAAAGGTTCACAATTTAAGTTAAATATGTGTGTGTGTGTGTGTGTGTGTGTGTGTGTGCGCATTTGTGCGTGCATGTGCATATATATTCAGTCATTCCTCAGTGTCTCAGCGATTGGTTTCGGGACCCTCCCTGAATTACAAAGTCTGTAGATGCTCAAGTCCTTTATGTAAAATAGGGTAGTATTTGCATATAACCTAGAACTTCTCCCTCTGTACTTTAAATTATCTCTAGGTTACTTATAGCTAACACAGTGAAAATGCTATGAAAATTGTTATAGTGTTATTTAGGACTAATGACAAGAAAAAGGTGTCCCTACATCAGTGATGGCGAACCTTTTAGAGACTGATTGCCTAAACTGCAACTAAAAACCCAACACTGTAATTAAACCTGAAATACCAAGGTTTTGGTTTAGAAGAAGCAACTCAAACAGAAGAAAACACAGTAACACGTTTGCCACCATTGCCCTGTAAGTTCATACTGCTGCCAGTTTTTAAAAGAACAGTTTTGGTCTACAGTTGGTTGAAACTGAAGCTGCAGAAGTGTATGTGTTGGATCCATGGATTCAGAGGGACACCTACTTTCATTGTATCTGTGCCTGCATTTTACTATTTCCTCTACTTGGAATATTCTTTTCCTTTTGTCTGGGAAACACTTACCTCTTAGGCCCTACTTAAATGGCATTTTCTAGGAAGTGTGTCCTGATTAATGTAAGTAGAGTTAGTCCGCACCACTCCCCCAATAATGTCTGAGGCTTTTTCAGCACCTAACGTTATTATTCTCATTAACTGATCAGTCAGTTGTTTGATAGCATGGGTTATATCTTTTCAGTGACTACTTATGTATGAATGGGAAAAAACAAAATAGGAAAACTTTTTAAATAAGCGCTACAACTGAGGCCTTATTTAGTTACCTTTGTTTCCAAGTGCTTACTGTGCTGCCCTGTCCATAAATATTCTGCAAATATTTTTCAGTGAATTACATGCAAATTCTAGTTGGTAATTTTCATGTGAACTTTTTTTCTACTACATTTTAGAAAATCATTAGCATAGAATTAAGATAACCTAGATATTTCGATGTATCTGATGCTTTAGGTTGATCTTCCTTGTTTTGATTCAGTGGTGAGATTTGTGACTGAAAGATTCTCTGATTTTGGTCAGTTGCTTTTTTTCTTTCTGTGTGTGTGTGTGTATGTGTGTGTGTGTGTCTTTTTTTAAGCTGATTTCTTTTTCACTCATGGGCTCTTTCTGGTGTTGAGTTCCTTGGAAAGATGAATGTGTAGTGTCTTGCAGGGGCTATCATTAAAAGTGTTAAATAGGGCCTCCTGTTCCCCCTGTACATTTCCCCCACTACCAAACAAAATGAATGTAAATGTTCTTAAGTATTGGTGATAACAGGCTGCTGAGGCATGAGAAAGAAAGGTGGCAGTTGGAAGTGAGGAAGTTGCCTCCTAGGTTCTTTTTTCTTTTGATGATTAAGGTTAACCTTAGAGCTGTCCCACTTATTTAAAATTAGCGAGAAGGAAGAGACTATGAATCCAGAAGATAAGAATATAGATTGTGTGATTTGATAAATTAGTAATTTGGCCATCATTGTTATGATTACCGTTGCCATTTAGTGAATGCTTCCGTGTGTCAGGCACTGGACTGAGAATTTCTGCATGAATTATTTAATTTATTCTTCACAGCAATCCCAATAAGGTACTAATAGGTAGTAACAAATAACCCTGTTTTAAGGTAGAGAAATTCAGAAAAATTTTCAAGAACATGTAGTTAGGAATTTGAAGTCATAGAACTGGGGCTCAGCCCAAGACCCACATCCTTCAGGATCTTTGCTTTTAATAACTATACATGCTGCCTGTAAGTTTCAATAGAGGAGTTTTACATTGAAAATGGGAAGTTGCACTGACACAGGAAAAAATG